GCGCACACGCGCACACACGACACACACCACACACACACACACACACACACACACACACACACACACACACACACACACACACACAGTCGGTGGCCAGAACGCGAAGCGGCCGCGGCGCGGGTCCAAGAGCACAAACGACTGCTTTGCAGCTTTCCCATTAAACAATAAAGCGAGCTGTAAAGCCTCAGGTGCTGTTTGTTGTGCCGTCTGTGGCGAGCGGTGGCTCCGGCAAGGGCGAGCGGGGCGCAGTGGGCCGGGGGAGCGCCTCTTCGGCTGATTCCAGGCACAGATAAGGAGCCGCCGAGCCACCAGCTCTGTCTAGACTCGCGACCTCACAAGTCAAGCGCCTTGTTTGGATTAGCCCTCCAGATCTGCCAACCTGATCAACTCCTGAAAGAGAAGGGCCCAGCAACACCCTCTTTTCCTCTCCCGGGCCGCGACTGTCCCTCCTTCAAGGGATCAAGGGCTGATTTGCCCGCAGGAGTCGCGGGGCTGGTTAGACCGTTGTCGGGTCCCCGCGTCTCCGCGCCCACCCACCCACGGGAGACGCACCAGAGCCAAGAACCCCTAGGGGCGGGTCGGCAAAAAAGAGCAGCCACCTCAATCAAGTCCATCAGCAACGCCACCCTGAAATAAACAAGGACTTTCAATCAATGGGATGGAAAGAGGATCCCAGGCAAGGAGAGGGCGAAGTGGAATCTTCCACAGGACTGTCCTGAAGTGCGTTTCCCCCCACCTGGCGGAGAGCAATCTTATCCCACGTGGATCTAGGCGTTGCCCTTTGGAGGGGAGGATGGGGGGTTTGGGGGGTGGGGGGTTAGGGAGGGGACAGGGTTTACTTTCTTAGAAGGCTTTGCTTATCATCACGGAGCGGTTTCCCAAAGGGTAATTAGGCAGAAAGATTTGAAAAAATAGATTTTTAAAAAATAAAGAGTCAAGGAGTCTTTAAGTGAGGCTCTGGGGAGACACTGGCTTCTCCAAGGCACAGAAACTGGCTTCTCGGAGCTAACAGCTTAAGCGCCATAAAAATTAAAGGATGTGATAGTAACAATGCTCACAGCAAACACTCAGCAGCGTTCCCTCCCGCCCCTCCCCCTCCTTTGCTCCCTGTGAACCAACTTCTCTGTCTACACTTCAGAAGTCTCCGGGAGGTGTGGAGAGATCCTCCATCACGACTTGGGACATTGTAAGCTGTGAAGTTTATGTTTGTGGCGCCTGGGCTCAAACAGCCATTCAGTGGCTTGCTCAGTTATCAAGAAAACAACAATCAGAAAAGATCAGTAAACAGACTCGGCTGCCAGCGCCCTGAATTAACTACTTGCATTTTAGTTTAAAAATATTGACCCACACTGTACAAGTTAATTGTTTTTATTTGAAATAGTTAACGAGAATTCGAGATTTGGGGCCATTTTCGAAAGTAACACTTTTTAAATAAAGGTACATACACACGCAAAGATCCTTTACCCTTTTCTCTCCGCACTTCCAAAGAAGATTGGACTTCCCTTGTTGTGACTAATCTTTAATTGTTGATAAGTAGAAAAGAAGTAAATATAGTCCTTAATGAATAAAACTCAAGCATAATTTGGATTATAAATCTCTCTTACAAAAATTGACTAAACTTTACAAATAAAAAAAATTAGTACTTTCTGCTTAGTTTACTTGTACTAGGGGTGGGATTAAAAACCCAAACTGGTTGAGTTATATCCAAACTTAGCTCTTCTGGTGGTTTGGACAGAGTTTTAACTTTTTCTTCTTCTTTTTTTTTAAGGAAATGGAAAAGACTAAATAAACCCATATGGGATTTACAAGAGATTTTTCAATGAGAACAATCTTATGGTTTAAAGAGTCAAGGTGCTAGGGAAATGCTAAGTACTTCTATCTTAAAAGTACATTGTCTTTTAGCTAGTAGTCAAAAGGCTGAGATAGACCAAGGAAGAGGTAAATGCAATGAGTTTAACAAACTTATTAGGGTGAATAGCAGTAGAGCATTACAGTCATTTATTTAATCTTGAATTAAAAAAAAAGAAAGAAGAAAGAAGAAAGAAAGGAAAGAAAAAGAAAGAAAGAAAGAAAGAAAGAAAGAGAAAGAAAGAAAGAAAGAAAGAAAGAAAGAAAGAAAGAAAGACCTTGTGAATTGGTAAGTGGGTACACACACCCACGAAGAATGTCAAATAACCAGAAATGTTATTTCAACGGAGAAAAAAGTCTCTTCAAATATGATTCTAACTTAGAAAGGACCCTTTTTTAATGGCAAGGAAACCAGGTCCATTTAATGAGAAGGAAAGAGAGACAGTAGACTGAAACAGAAGTTGTTATTGCATTGAAACAATGGGGGGGGTATCTTCTCTGAGTATAGATATTGATACGGATTGCCTGATTGAAGGAGAGTGTCCTGGATGTTTTTAGTTGCATTAAGTTTTAGCTTGCAGAAGCTGGAGGAAATGAGTCATAATGTCCAGAAGGAAGAATTCAGAGTAATAAGGGGAGGGAGGATCAAAGATAATAGCAAACAGGAGGAATTTCATTAGAAGAGCACAGCTTAAAGCTAGGTCTCCAGAGGTGTGCTGGGAAAAGGAGAGTATGTGCAAGAGATGGTTTGCAAACAAGGAGACATTTCAGCTACACATTTTAGAGCACATGCTGAGGAGTCTAGAAGGGAACACACCTTTCATATGAATAATACAAGAACTAGAATGCTATCGACCCATCAATCCATTCTCAGCCATCAGGCAACAAATATCTTGAATCTAGCAAGTGAAACCAAATCGTTCATCACTCCCTTCCCAAATTACTGTACTTAAATTCAAGCTGTGGACCTCAGAATAGTCTGACATCTATATATGTAAAACATCATCTCCTTCCCCACCCCCCCACCCCCCCTAATCTTGGGAATAATTGTCAGGATGAGAAAGCATCCCAAAGATGTGTGCCTCACTTAAGTCCCTCCGTTGCATTCAAACCCTAAAAGTTTCTATTTCCCATCTAACCTATACAGAGTCCACCAGAGGCTACAGCTGGGAAAGGGCACGTCAAGGTTTCCAAACTAAGGCGTGGGCCTTTAGCAACTATGCAGACACCAATATTCACGTTGACCTTGCCATCTTTGCACTTATCAGTTAGCTATCCCAGGTGTCCTGGGAAGAAAAAGGAAAACTGAAAAGGTGGGCAAATAATGAGTCTAAAGGTAAAAGAGCCAAGTCCCATAGGAAGGATTAGGGAGAGATGGGAAACGAGAGAGAGAGAGAGAGAGAGAGAGAGAGAGAGAGAGAGAGAGAGAGAGAGAGAGAGAAATATCTTTCCAGAAGATCTGTGTGAGATAAGACGCAACTCCTGTTTTTCTCAACTGAAGACCACAAGCCATTATTACCGCGGGCCAAATCATTACCCCTCGGTGAAGAATTAGACACAACAATCAAAGTAATCAACGGGCATGTCTAATGCACTGTAACATTTTCAATGCAAAGTTTGTTTTCTCTCTGCCCCCACGTTGGAGCCTGTAATTAACCCGTTATGTAGAACGATGCCAAACAAAAGGCTAATTGAGGCTCGCTTCCCGACTTGCCGCAGGTTCGGAGAGGGTGAAAGCAACTGGAGAGCCCGGGGGCCGCGGGGCTCCCCCGGTCTCCAGCCGGGCCTCCACGCCGCCCCGGGCAGGGGCCCGCAGGGGCACGCGCCGCCAGACACACCACGAGGGTACGTTAGCCCTCGTATTTATTAAGAATTGTCACATACTTAAAACGGCAGGACACTCGCGCACACAAATGAACCCAGTTTCTAAAGAGTCAAAGTATCATGGGGGGGGCGGAAGAGAAGGGGACAGGGTGGAGCCCCAAATCCTAGCTCTACAGCGCAAACCAAGAAGCACCAAGAAGCCTGATTTGGGGCAGGGCCCTTCACGTACCCCTGGGTTTGGGCGCTCACACTGGAGCTGCTGCAAATACCCGGGTGGAGGTGATGGGGTGGGGGCAGCGCTGGTGCACGCCGCTCCCACCGCGGAGGGGGCCTGCCGCAGCCCGCGGCTCCTCGAGGAGCCTCCCCCGCGCTCCTCCGCCCCAGCCCGGCAGCCCTTAAGGGTCCCGGAATCGGAGTCGGGGGAGGGGAGGGGGTGGTGGGGAACAGGACAAGAAAAGACCCACGCTCACTGGTCTGGGAATTGCTGAGAAAACTCTCTCCCCTCGGCCTGCTCTTCCTGCGCAAGCAAAGCAGCATTTCTCAATCGGCTGACAGCCGCCCCTGGTAAATGATGGGCAGAGCTCACTGACTAGGCGGGAAGGCTCTCTCGCAGCAAGAGCTGAGACTGGAAATATAGGTCATTTCAACAATCCTAAGCAGGAGACTTTGGTATAAAGCACTTACTCCCAGAAAATAAAAGAGTGACTCCGAATCAAAACCCATTTATGCAGGACCCTCTTCCTATTTGGGGTGGGGTGGGTGGGGCAAGAAAAGAGCCAGGAGGAGGAAGGAGAGGTGGGGGTGCCGGACCGGGATAGCCCCTCATTTTCAAAAAAAGACAGTTAACATTATCACAGCTGAGAACCAAAGGCTTCCAACCAGTTTTGATTCAACTGTTAAAATGCAAACTGCAAGTTGGACCTTAACTATTTGCAATAAAATATCACACCTATTGTATGTCAGTTTACCCCATGCACATGCAGTTCTTAATTTCAGACATTTTAATGGCTTACTTGTAAACATATAAAAGAGGGACCCTGGATCACTGCATTTATTTATTTATCTATGCCAAACGTTTATTAGTGAAATAGTCCTGAAGATATAATTCTACATATGGCGCTTTGATTTCACATAATATTTAAGAAAAAAGACAAAACACATAGAATTAGACATATAATTCAAAGACCACGGTATAACCTTTATCTTTTTCTTTTTTTACTTCAGCAAACAAAAAAAAATGTCAAATGACATGAAAAGTGGCAAGTCTTTCGACAATAAATAATAAATTACTTTATAATTTTTGCAATGCAAGAGCAAACAAAAAAAAAGTTTCCTTTTTTTTTTTTTCCTCTTTATTTCCAGAGAGAGAGAAAACAGTCATTTTAACCAATAACTATACACATCTTTGGGGGAAAAGTTCGTGGACAGACACAAGTCAAACACAATCCCGAGACGCTTGTGGCAAAATAGAGGTAACCTTGTTGCAATGCTTTATAAGTTGGTTTTTAAATTTGAATTCAAAAACCTTTAAAGTCGCTTCAGACTTCTTGATAGAGGATGGATCTCAAAAAAAAAAAAAAAGAAGACGACGACGAAGAAGGGGGAGGGGCAAAAGTAAAAAAGAAACCAGCTACAGGACATGCTAAGAGACCCAGGATTTCAATTAACCCCTTGTTAAAGTCAACTAAAAACATCGCAAACCAACGCAGCTCCACCTTCCTGAAAGGACTCTTTCAGCCAAGGAGGCCAGTTTCTCTTCCTGTTCATTTGCTGGAGCTCCTGTTTGGCAAGGCAATGACCAATATAGAAACAGCACCATTCAGAATAGGATGGACTAGAAAATCTCTATTTCTGCTTTTTCTCTAGATGTGCAGTGAAATGAAAATGCTTTTTTTGAGATCCTTGAATATAAATCCTCTACGTTTTAAAAACGTCTTTTTTTTTTTTCAGTACTCCTAAGGTCATTGGATAGCGTATGTTGGGTTTGGGTTTTGTTTGTTGTTTAATTCTAGTAAAATCCCATGATTGTCTTCACAGTGTTGCTACCATATCACCTTGTCATTAAAACAGACTTCGTGCATTTCATGGAGCATTCATTTCTCGATTCAGTTTTCATTGACTGGGTCGTTAAATACTTTTGTTTCGGAGTTCAACATTATACTTTCCCACTTTCTCCAACAGGGAAAAAAAAATACATCTGAATGAATGTTCCTCATGCCTCAATAGGACTGGCTACCATGCTGTTAGGTGTATCTGGGAGCTGAGAGGACATCGACGCCACTTCACTGCCAGTGGAATTAGAGCCCGGTCCTCCTTCTGAAAAATTCACCTGCATAGAAGGTTGAGAAATGAATAAAGGAGGCTGCGATTGTATTCTTAAAAGGATTATAAGCTCATCATATGTGTATAGGTACGTGCAAGTGTTTTTGTGTGTAGATGGATATGCAGATAAAGATCTACATGTATAACTGAATTTTAACAGGCTTAAAGAAAGCCCACAAAGAAAATAACTTGAGAAGAAATCCTCTCGCTTTCCCATCTTTCAGGAGATCTCTGTTTTAACTGAAACTGAATTCCCAACATTGTGTTGCGTTAAATTATTTAAGGACAAATGTGTTTCCCACTGTAAAATGGCATCGCAACTCTACCATGCATGCTCGAAATAAAATTATCCTGCTGGCTACATGTTGCCCTGGGAGCAGGCAAGTCCTCAGTCTCCAGGCATCAAAGCCTCTCTTCTTGAGTTGGAAAATCCATAACACACGCTCAGATCGCTCAGATCGTGTGACAGGAGATTCAGAAGAGGCTCCACAGAACAATGATTAACTCCTCAGAGGGTTCACAGCGTGGGTTTTCTTCCTTGTTGTTGGTCCTGCTGCCTTTTGGCCTTTCTCTCTTTCTCTTTCTTTTTCTCTGTTTAAATCAGGCTCTTCCTTGCGAGAGGAGACCCATGTATTATAACGTCATCGCATTATAAATATCTGGCTCCTTCTTTTAAACCGAAAGTATTGTGTTGCTGTTGGAAACCTCTTTCTCCACTCTACCCCTATACCCCCCTCCTGCCTTGGCTTCCCTCCCACTGCTCTCATCTAACACTAAAGTTTTAGAAGGTACAAACACTTGGCTGCCCTGAACCCTCCTCTGACTTGCCTTCTATGATCCAGGTTTTGCTCAAATAACTCATAAGATTACTCTCACTTTAAATAAGTTCTTTTGCCTAATTCCAGAATTTGCCTTCCTTTCTATCCTATTAAACTTTCCCATGGAGAGGTCAAGGGGCTTCTCAAATTTGCCTAGCCTCTAGACTGGCCCACTTACAAATGTAAACCTGGACCAAGTCCTTGTAACCACTGCCTCTGGCCTATTACCTAATGGTCGCCACAGAGAAAGAAAATGTTCTCCAGGTAAATGTGAGGGTAAAAAACTAACCTCAACTAAAGTTTTACTTCCAAAGAAAGGAACAAGTTTTTAGAATAGATCTGGTTTTATAGAAGAAAATTCTACAGGACCGTTGACTATTTAAGAAAAAAGTAGGTGTATATATGCCATATCACAAAGTATATATATCTAATACTCTTGTTTATCTGGACCCTTAAGCCTTTTGTAGGCATATGGTGACTTAATTTTCTCTTCTCTGGATGTATGAAACATACTAATGCTAACAGGTTTTTACGTGTTGTCTCTGATTGGTAGAACTCACGTTCCTTTGGCTATACATGCCCCACAGTATGAGACTGTGCATAACATCTGAACTCATACACTTAAAATGTTAAAGTAATCCTACATTTTAGATTAGGTTGGTCCCAGAAAGGGATATTAATAACAGAAAGTATCCATCATGTCTTTAAATAACTGAACTCTTTATTGATATATTTGAAAATCATACCCACACAGGTGCCTGCTGCTCATTGATAATAACATTGATTATGTCTTACAACATCGGTTATTAACATAAACAGCTCAATTTAGGTCTTTAAATACACCATTCTCTAGGAGCTGAGGAGAGAGTAAATTTACTAATTGCTGATCAAAATGACAAGGTCTTCTAAAAGTCCGTTCCAGCTCTAAAAGTCTAAGATATATGATTTTGCAACCCTGTACACCTTCCTATGCATGTCTAGTTAATTAGACACCTTGGAAGTTATCCCTCAAAGCAGGCCCAGTTGAGAGAAAATTCAACCTATATGGTCAAATTATGAACTCAGAGAAAGGACTTACAAGAAGTTTGTTTCCCTTGAGCACTTGTCTCCTCTTCGCCAAGCCTCCTTCATCTCTCCCCAGCCTTGGGGCCAAGGAAGCACCCTCCCCTCGGAATCTTTCATTGTGTGACAGTTAAACCAGAATCTTCTTTTTGTTAGAGATTCAGCTTCCTCACTCTGAGAGCTGACACTTACCAGTTGCTGAAAAGCAGGCTGATCTATGTCACTCTGCAAGGCGAAGTCACTCAGTACTTTCCAAGGCGGCTGGTAACTTTGCACCTCCACTGGGTTTGCCTGTAAGCCACCATCGTGTCTCTCTGGACTGGCAGCCACCATGGGAGTTCCTGTCATCCCCTGGATATTCTGTGAATAGGCCCCCCCAATCCCAACACATTAATGACCAAACTCCCTCCCTCCATTGTCCTCAGAGGCTAAGCAAATATACCCTAGCATTATCTTATCTATATAGTGGCCACTATTGACTCAGTTAATCTGCTGCATGTATGGATATTAGCCAGAGGGGTTTTTTTTTTTTTTTTATTGTATTTTGTTTTTCTGCTTCTGTGGGTGGGACTAGTAGGTCTGCTTGGAACTTACTAAATTAATTTCTATTCTGACTTTCTCCTTTCCCTTTAAATCCACATTTTATCTCAGTTCCTCCCATCTGCCTTCACAGGCCGTAGTGTCACAGGGGCAGAAAGCTGCAGCGTCTGGACATGGGTGGGTTTTCTGGGCCCTTTCAGTTACACTTTCTACAGGCAAAGGCACTTCTCTTCACAGAGCCAACCCCCACCCCCAAGCATTTGGGTCTGGCTACTATTGTGCTACTACCAACTTAAAAAGTGCCCCGGCACAGGCTTGGCTGGCCTGCCAAGTTTAATGACAGCAGGGGTTTTATGGGATTTAAAAATAGGGCTGAAGCCGTAAAAAGAAAAGAAAGAGAACCTCTTTAGTTTAACTCAACCAGAAATCCTGGTGGAGTGGGTGCTGCCATGGGCTTGGGATGACAGTGGATAATAATATCTCTGGAGGCCTGGACTTGAACTAGAGTAGAGGGTGTCCTATCTTCGCAGGTCACCTTGGTGGATCTCACTGGTCTGAAGGCACTGAGGCAGGCCTTGTCAAGATTCAAGCAACATACCGAGGGGGTCCACCGCCAGGACGACCCACCCATCCACCTCTGAATTAGACAGGGAGCCAAGGAGGTGTCTCTCTCTCTCTGGTGTCTGAGGAACTGACAACCTGAATGCTGTCAGAAAGGGTCAGGCCTTGCTGCCCCCTGCTCAGCAGTGCAGGAGTGTTTGCTGGTGGGGGACAGGTTGAAGGGCACAAGCCCACTCACATGGGCTGGGGGTGGAGGTACAGCGCTCTGCACTGGGCCCTTGCCAGTTGCTTCTCCCCTGGAGCCTGGGCCTGGCTAGAGGAGGTAAGGGGCTGCTGGCTTTTGCTTTTGAGCAGGAGGGAACCCACTTGCAGGCCAACCTAGGCAGCCCTTTGCACCTCGTGCATTTGCTCTGCTCCCCACTCAAGTTCCATATCCCTGGTCCCAGGGCCACTCACAGTTTTGTCATTGGGCTGCTGCTGCTGGAGCTGCTTCATCATGATGCTCCGCTTCTTGTCCTTGCACCGCTTGTTTTGAAACCAGACCCGGATCACACGAGGGCTAAGGCCCGTCATCTCCACCAGTTGCTCCTTCATGAGTGCGTCTGGCCTGGGGTTGGCGGCATAGCAGGTCCGCAAGGTGTGCAGCTGCTTCTCGTTCAGCACAGTCCGAACACGGGTGGTCTTCTCCGGCTGCTTGTGGACGTGGGGCCGCAGGGCTGGCTGCCTGGCGGAGATGGGCTCAGCTGCGAGGCAAGGGGCGGCAAGGGGCGCGGTGAGCAGTGAGCGCAGGCCTGGGTGGCTCGCCCTCCCTTGCTGCTCCCAGACAATGGCCAGTGCTTTGCAGCCACGACAAACAAAGCGGGGGTGGCAGAGCTGGGGATCAGGGAAGCAAAAGGGAGAATAACATCTGGCTCTCCAACCTGAGAGGTCAATGCTGAGTAATTCAGGCTCAGAACACAGCCTCCGCCCCTGCTCTTATCAACAGAGCCTTAGCAGAGGGGCGCACTTCTCTGGGGCAGCACTGTTCAGCATTGTTTCTCCTCCCTCTTTGCCCGTCCTCATACCCAGACTGGTCCCAGGTTACAAGAGTACCCACCACCTCCAGACTCCTGGACAACAGCCACATGGGAAGGAAATGCAGAACACCCCAGTGTCAGCCAGAGACACTATACAAGCCGGGAGGTCTCTAATGCAAAGGTCAAAGAGAATTCTGACAGAAAGCCTTGAACTTCAGTTCAGGGAGGGTAATCAGCCAAGGAGCTAAAGAAATTCAGAATTTCAGCCATAACTCCCATCCTTGATATTTCCACTAAATCTACCTGGCTGTTCATGAGATGGACTGACCCAGTACAAAGGAAAACCGAAACTGTTGAGTTGCCTGGGTTCAGGACAAATGACAGCTGGGGAGAGTTCTGTCTCCTGACTGCCTCCCAATATTTCCATCTCTTCTGTGTTTTCCCACAAAGCCGAGCACAGGTTGCACAGAACTGAAATTGCCATTCTGTCTTTGCCCCTGTGCAAGCTAGTCATGTACCCCCCAGAACAGAAGCCTTACAGCTTCTGAAAAAGCAGAGTGCACAGATCTGTGTTTCCCCTCCGTCAGTGTTTAGTGAGAATTGATACTTTAATAATGCCCCAGGTAGATCTATTCCTGAGCTGTAGGTGTACTTCCCTTATTCCTGAAGGGAAGTAAGGTTCTGGAAACACTGTCTGCCTCCCCAGGGAAGGCCTCCTCCTGGCCAATCTTGCTCAGTTTCTACTCTCCTTCTCCCGGAATGGGCTCTCTGAAACGTATGGTACAAATCCCGCACCTCTCAGGACCCCTAGGGTCAGGTCAAAACCTACTGGGTCAATTTAGTGTCACAGCGACAGGCCTGAAGATGAAATTCTCACCAAATCACATAGAATGAATGGTTTAAAGAGGCAGGCTCCCTTTAAAAGGCAATTACTGCAGATTAGCTTGTTGACAGTTTTAAATTACAGCTCTGCGCAATGGCCTGCACGCAGTTATTGAGACTGTATCTTTTCACATCCACTCTTTCACAAAAGGATAAAAATAAATTTGAAAAATATTTCAGAGTGTGGGGCAGTTGCAAGGAAAAAGGATTTGAAAGACTAAATGACTTAGGGCCACCTAAGCTTCCTTCATTGGGTTAAAGGAGGAAGCTCCGGGGGCCCAGAGCTCCACCCCTTTAATTAGGCAGCGGCAGGAAGACTACCTGGAGGGGAGCTGAAGCCCATTTTCGGTAAGCCCCGGTTTGGAGGCCAAGGTAAACTGGAAGTACTGTTTGGACGTGTGTATACACGTATGCACAAGTGGTGTACATTCATGTGTACGCATGTTTAGATGCGTACAGGTGTGCTGGGGAAGGGGAGTCTGAGGAGACAGTAAGTGCACCGAATCTTGCGCAAAAGAGCGAAGTCCAGTGCAAACTGCTCCGAGAACACTTCCCTTGGCTGTGGGCCGCTGCCGCTGCCGCAGCCACTGCCCCGTGGCTACCAGGGGTGCCGCGGGGGCCCGCGCACTGGCTGGGCCGTGCTGGTCCAGCCCAGCGCCAGCCTCCCCCGGCGGCCTCCCTCTGGGCAAGGAGTACCTGCCATTTGCAGCGGCCGCGCTGGGTGCAGAGGGCTGAGCGGGTCGCCGGCGCCCAGGCTGGCCCTCTCCACCACGTCGTGGTCCGCGCGGCAGAAGAGCCCGTCCTCCCGAAGCGCGAACTCGTCCCCGGGGATGAGCTGACGGCTGCAGGCCACGCAGCGGAAACACTCGATGTGGTACACCTTGGAGCGGGCGCGCATCACGAAGTCGTTCTTGCTGAAGCCGATGCTGCACTTGGCGCATTTGATCCCGTACAACCTGAGCGCGCGGCCGGCCCGGGGCGGGGAGAGAAACACGGAAAGAGGGGATCACTTTGAGCCGGCACTGCCTCGGCCCGAGATTGCTGAGGGCCCCCGGCCACACGGGACCCTGAAATCTGCAATAGCCGACCAGCTGGGAACGGGCGGAAAGAAATCATTTGGTTTCTCTCTCTTCTCCTTCAGGTCTTTTATCCTCCCTTTCCTTTCTTATGAACCTCTGTGTCTCCGTCAGTACCTCCTTAATTCAGAATACCCCTAAAATAAAAATGTTGGACGGGTTGGAAACCTGGACCTCTGTTCTAGCCCCGTCCCAGGGTAACCCTTGCAGCTCTTTGCAGAAAGGAGGCAGGGGGGGACTCTAGTAGCCACTGGCCCCACACTTTTGCCTTCCTATCCCCCAATTTCTGCTGCTAGAAATGTCTCTAAAACTGCTACAAAAAGTCCTTCCAAGAGAAAAAAGAAAGGTTAGGAGATGAGGCTGTCACCCCACTCATTTGTAAATATACAGAGATGCACAAGCAGGGTAACAAAATGAAACCTCTGAGGGTCTCCAGATTCCCCTTCTGCACAATAAGCACGTTGCAGTTTTTCCCCCAACTAAAGATTTTTCCTCGGGCAACAATGTTAACAGAAAGTTTCCTTTTCATTCTTCCTTTTATTATTATATTTAAAATCTGCTCCTGCTCCCTCAATCTTTTACAAGTTGCTGAAGCATCTACCTCTATTTCAGTTTGCCTGAGAATCATGACCACCCAGAAAAATGAAAAGACTCACTTCTAAGGGTTTTCTTGCTCCTGATCTTTCCTACAAAGGGACAATCCTTGTAGGTTCCACCTAGGCAGCACTGACCTGCCCCCGCTCTCTGTGTATCGGTAATAACAGAAGCGGGGGCATTCCTACAAATAGAATCCAGGAGAGGAAAAGATCCACACGAGGTGGAGGGAGGGCACCTCTCTCCCCAAAAGGAAGAAGGGCATTCAGAAATCTAAATAGTCTCTGTGTTCTGCTTTTACAACTATAGGAGTTCAAAGGGGCACACGCACACAACCGAGAGAGACTGAAGGGGAAAAGGCAAAAGCTATCGGCTCCTTCTATAAATGTGTACGCAAGAACTGGCAACGTGAAGGTCTGTATGTAATTGAGCAAAACACTATCTCCACAGGAGGAAAGATAGTCCTAGAGGTGCAAAGTGAGCTCTCCCTCTCTAGAATCTTGAGTTCACACACTAATCAAGTAAACAATGAAAACAGCTCATTTGTCAGAGGTTAGAAGGTAGATTCAAAAGTTTTTCCTCCCTCCGCCTACTCTATGTGAGATCTTCCATTTCATAGGATGAGGACCTTACCTTGCCTGTGACCAAACAATTTGGAAAATCCCTCCCCTTCCTCCAGTTCCCCACTTCCCCTATTTCCTCCCACTGCCCCCCCCCCAGCAAAGTATTAATAAACCCCTACACGCACTGTTCAGTTTTACCTATCAAGATTATACTCTCTGTTTCATGATTTTACAAGACGAAAAAGTGCTGGACACTAGACAAACAAGTAAAAATTGTGACCGCATACTTAACTCTTGACTAAACTTTAAGTTCTCAGCTCCAGAAATTCTATGCCTTACAAAAGCTTGTTACTAGGCACTGGAGACATTTAAAAAGCATATAATATTTTGATATCATTTAACAGAATAGAGAAGGTGTTATCTCTTCTGTTTGTTATTAAAACAATAAAATTTTCTTTAGGAAGTCTACTGGTTTCCTAAGGCAGAAGACGGAATTTCTGCCGTACATATATACACAGGTCAGAGAAAATTTGAGATTTGTGAAGCATGAACTTTAGGCATAGAATAAACTGGAAGAAGAAAAAAACTCAGAATGTTCCCTGTGTGGTTTTAGTCTTGTCAGTATGGGCAATTCGCTCATTTTATCAGTTACCAGATTTTAATGTGAGAAAGGAAGCTGTTCAATTATCTAAATATACCAATTGTTCGTAGACAGATGATGGGCAATTTGATCTGCTCTGTCTAATTCATCAGCTCAGATAAGATAAGAGAAAGAAAAGATAGTCAGATGTCACCAAAGGGTTAATATTTAAAAAGATTAAATTTCCGGTCTTTTTGCAGGGAGTATTTGGGTTGGTTTTGACATTTTCCAAGAAAGGACTCTTACCCTAAAAGTAAAGGGGGCAATATTTCTATTGCACTTTCAAAGTGCACTTCTAAAAATCCTTAGGTCAAACTTTTATTTCGCCTATTGCATTGACATCTCCACAGAATTTGGCAGTTACTAACAAAACACTGAACTATTGAAATAAATTAATGAACAGAGAAAAACACTGCACTGTACGACACAATAAAAACCAACCTTTAAAAAAGAAAGTTTAGAACCCCCAAGTTATCCATCTTTAAATTTCTGCTTGTTTGTTTTGGGAGGGGGAGGGTGAAAGAAGAAAATAATTTGAGCATCCCCAATTCCAAGAGCAATTAAACGAGCTTCAACGCCACCCAATTTACGAAAGCCACTACTGAGTTTGTGGGGTTTCCCCCCCTAAAAAGTGAAATGAACAGAATAGTTTAATTTGTGCAACACCCTTAAAGATAACTTTTGCACACTGGACCCCACTAAGGCAAACTTCACAAAAAGACAAAGCTGCATCAAATACTTAAAAAGGAGTAGGGAGAGACAGGGAACTCTCAGAGTTAGGGAAGCAATATAAATGGCGTACCTGATATAATCTCTTTTACAGTAGGTTTTCCCATCTCTAACAAAGCACGTACAGCTCTCGTCCAAATACTGATTACACTCCGCACATTTCAAACATGCCGCATGCCATTCCAAATCCGGAGAAACCCTCAGAATATACTGATCGTGAATTTGATTGCCGCAACCGACACATAGGGAAATCAGACGTTTTTCTGAAATGAAAATAAATACATGATTGACTAACCGTTTACTTCCTACAGAGATAAACACACTTTTAGTGTCGTTCTCTTATAGGGCGTACTCTGGGAGGTTTTTTTTTTTTCTTTTTCTTTTTCTTCCTTCTCCTTCCTTTCTCTCTCTCTCTCTCTTTTAAAGAGTATTGCACTTTGGGATGGTAACTGAAGTGTGCCATCAAAACCCTGACTCATTTTAAAAAGGAGGTGGAATATATGTAAAATGCAGATTTGAATAGTCTACATTTGTAAGCCTAGCACGCAATCAAACCCGTTCATTTTGTATTTCTTGCACCCCCCCCCCTCCACCACCACCACCCCTCCTCCCTCTTTGCCGTAATCATTGGGAAAGATTATGGAGAAGTCAAGTCAAAGAAAAGGTTTTGACTAGCAGCGTTAAGGGAACGCTCATATTTTCCACGAAGCATGCTCTTTAACAGCACATAGGGCTGGATACTGTTAGCAAGAGCAGACATCAATACAGTTGTCACTCGTTCTCTTTTGCAAGTCTAATGCTAATTCACATCTCCGGGTATTGTATGTACAGGCGGCACCTTTTGCAACAGAATAACCTCCTCGGAGAGCTCCGGGGCCCCGAGGAGGAAACCACCGCCCAGCACCAGCAGTAGCGCTCGGGTCGTGGAGGGCGCACAGGCGAATTCAAACGCGAGGCACGAGCAGTTTCCCGAAGGTCGGAACCGACAGCAAGCATGCAGGCGTGGCGGCAAACGAGACCGAGCCACCTTTCCTCCTCCTCCTCCTCCTCCTCCTCCTCCTCCTCTCTCCTCTCTGCAGGCAATGACTCCAACTCGGACGAGCTCCTGGCCCCCGTGCCTGAGAGAGACCCCCGCACAAGAACAGCACACCGAGCCCCGCAAGGTAAAATAGCCTCTTACTTTTTGGTGGATCTCCCATGTCTCCCATATCTGTAAGAGGGAGTAATGTCCACAGTGAAATGGTGGTTGTACAGTTGGTGACCAGCCCACAGAGAGGATGCTGGCGCTGTGGCTAAGTGGGAGACAGTGGCCCGCGGGGCTGCCAAGGCTGGGGGCGCCGCTGCCCGGCCGCGCCGCGCCGCGCCCTCGCGGGTCGCGGAGTCCAACTTACGCCGGCGGAGCTGGCGGAGCGGAGGCGCGGCGGCGGCGGCGGACTCGGCGCGGCTCGGGCCCCGCTCTTCCTTATCTCTTACTCAAACTTCTCAGCTCCAACTCAGCTCCATCGCCATTGGTCTGACGCTGCGCGCGGGGACGTCAGGCGAGCGCCGCGCCCATTGGCTGCGGGGCGCGCGGCGCAGCTGCTCTGATTATCATATTTCAGCCTCGCCGCCGCCGAGCGCCACTGACCGCTCCGAGAGCCCGCGGGAGAGGAGTGGGGCTCCCGGCCGGGGCCGCCCGCTCCGGGCTCGGGCGGCCCCCTCGCGGAGCTCGGGCGGCCCGGCTGCGCCGGCTCGGGGCCTCGCGCTCCGGCTCCCCTCCGCCTCCTGCGCCCCCTCCCCGCGCCCGCCCCTCCCGCCCCTCCCTCCCCCTCCCCCTCCCCCTCCCGCGCTCCTTCCCGGCCGTGCCGTCGGCGCCCTCGCCTCCCGCCGCGCCGCTCCTCCGCCCTGCGCTCCTGGGCTCCCCGCGGTCCGGCCGGCCGTGCAGCGCGCGGGGCGCTTTTCTGCCGCCGGTGGCGAGTGGCTGGCTGGTGGGTAGGTCTTGCTGCTGGCGAGGTCCTTCCGGGGCTCTAGGAAAGGGGGCGACTTGGAGCGACGGGCCGCTCGGCTCGCCGTGGTCCCGCGCTTTAGCTCACAGCGCCGGGCCTGGCGCGGCTGGGCCGCCGGGGAGGGGCAGTTCCCGAACTGGCTGCGCCTGGCGCGCTGGGAGCTGCCGCCCAAGGGCGAGAAGAACCGGGAACGGCACCAATAAGCCCACGGGAATGGCTCTCTCAAGCTGCCCCACTCCTCCGTTAACCACCGACCTCAGAGCTCAAAAAAAAAAAAAAAAAAAAAAAAAGAGCTGGGGTGGGAGGGTGAAGAGCGCTTCTTGCGTTAAGCGGAGAATCAGGTTGGGCGCACCCAGGTAAAACCAAGTGGGCTCCGCGGGCTCCTCTCTCCTTCTAACGGCCCTTGAGGTCTGCTTTTGCAGTTTGGCCCTAGAATGTAGCAGCGCACTAACCCAAAGCCAAGGACCGAAGTGATCGTCCAGGAGTGAAAAAGTTTGTAAAGCGAGTATAGATATAGATATAGATATAGATATAGATATAGATATAGATATAGATAGATATAATATTAATATTATACAATAATATAATAAAGCGATTATATATATATATATATATATATAATCTCCTGTCCAGTTCCTCTCTCTGCTGGCCTCCTCCCCTTTTGTTTGTAAGCAAACGTGTGCAATTCGCTGGTGGTGTTTCGGCAATTACAAGGACCGTTCTCCATGTCTCTCTAGTCTAGAGATTAAAAAAAAAATAAATGTGTTAGTCTAAGGGCGCGAGTTAGGGAGGAATCTAATACTGAAGGGCAGTGAAATACCTGTTTCACTTCACCGGGTTTGTTTATCTGATAATTTTCTCTCGGGGGAAACAACCTGGAGAGAGAAGAAGGTTCTTCTTGGCTCCAACTCGCGGGGAACCTTTTCCAATAATTTCTGACACGTACCCGTCACCTTTTACAGTCTCCCCAAAACAAAGTCACAGGGAAGGCCGCGAAGAACACCCACATGTCTCCCAAAGCTTCTAAATAGCCATCCCTTATCTAAAGTGACTGCCAGTTTTCTCTTAAAATGTCCACAAACCCAAGCAGTAGAAGGCGTAATTTCGGTGTCTTGCTGCCTGGGGAAAAAAAAAAAAAAAAACACCCAGTTAGTTGGGTTAGGAAGCTCCTTTCTTTGTACTTCTCGCCAGATCTAACCCTTGATAAGAGCTGTGAGCTCTCAGCTGGCCTCAATGGCTCGGTTTGCATGTATAGGCTTTTCCAGAGTGCAAAAGAAGCTAAGACGTTTGAGTTTCCTCCTGACCTAGCTGGGCTTTACCAAGAACACGGATCTGTTTCATTTTGTTTTCTCTCAAGGAAGAGTTTAACTGGATCTCATGCCTTCTGTTTTTATTATAAGTTATATCAGTGTGTGTGTGTGTGTGTCTAAAATTGAAAGTTGGAATAGACATAGGTTGATAAATGTATCAATTTTTTGTTGTTGTTGTTTAAAAATCTGTTTTCTTTAAAGTTTCTAGCCTCCTGGTATTACATGCATGGAGCCCTTTGTCAGGCTGCTTTTGCAAAGCTGATCCTGGTAATCAAAACACGAAGCAAGTCTTCCCGGTATAAGGGCATGTTTCCCTTATAGATAATGAAGTTGACTCTAGTTTAAAAAAAAAAAAAAGATACCATTATAATGCCAGAAAGTAAATAGAGGATTTTAGCCAATCATATTCCCTTACGCCACCTTTATAACATGGAATTAAACAGAAGCTGCCAGAAGCCTGATGACATATTTGAGATCCACAAAACGCCCTCACTATCCATACTCCTTCAAATCAGTCACATACACAGTGTGATATTTTAACTTCCTAAACTATTAACCTATTCCTAAGAATTACTGCCCTTGATGGTAGCAATTCCAAATAGAAAAGCTGGCATGTGGCTTGAAGGAAAACCTTTATTCATGGGCAATTTCATCGTAATGGTGAAGACAATTTTTTTTCCTTCTTTTTCAGCCTTCATTGTTATTGTAACCAAGAATTTTCTTGATAAGTTCCTAAGCTGATAGAGGTGAAGCTCATGCAGAAGATACTCTCTGATAAAGGGAGAAATTAGAAGGAACCCAATAATATATTGTTCCATGTTGGATGTGCTCTGAAGTTCTGTGTCTACTGCTGATACATTTTGCATCAGAATCCAAGTTAGGGGAGCAGTCATTTTTTCACTTCACCTGAAAGTTCAGACATGACCACAGATTATTCTCCTCTTTCCTTCGCTGATTGCTACGTGTGCATTTAACACATCGAATATATCAGTAAAAAAAAAAAGTGTAATGTTTTTATAGAACACAACAAAATGTGATTAGCAGTATTTCCCCCCAGTACTTGATCACAGGAGCGACCTCTTGTGTTCGAAGGGGAGATTAGACCCTCTCCCTTCTGACAAAAATGGACTTATTTTGACCTTTACCCGTTCTGTTAGGTCAAAAATACATCTTTCAGAACAGCAGTTGTGTGAATCCCCTGCTGTGAGCTCCTCTATTAATGAGAGAAGAAGAATATTAGTAGTTTCTAAGTATAGTTCCGATTACCTCCAGGCCACCTCAATATACTTCACAGTGTCTTTGAATATAAAAGGTATGCTGAGATTTAGTAAGTTCCTCTTGAGTCTGTGGTGTCTGCCCACGTGCACTTGTACGCACCTTCCAAAATACAGTTATTACACCTAAAACTCCTGTTGGGCTCTTAAGCCCAAGTATTTGTGTGCTGTTACATTCTCTGCTTTAAAATTTGAACATTCCACATCAAACTTAATGCCAGATACAGAATCCTGAACAAATATGTTCTCAGGCTACTTTTCAAAAATCTAAATAGGTTTTAATTGCAATTGAAAAGTGTTATCACACATTTAGAATGGATCTATTCCCGAACTGGCAGATATAAGGAATTTTTAAGTCCGTTCTTTATGAAATTATGTACAGAAAAGGAAAAAGCTTTTTCCTTCCTCACTAACCAAGATTGGGAAGGAAAGAGGGTTTTGATCAGCTGTCTCTGAAATATGGATTTCTTTGGGAACTTCTTCCCAGGGAGGTGAAACTCTCTTTAGCCTACGTCAGAATCGGGTTTGAAAGAGTAGTATAATAATTGGGCTGTCAGTTTCCATGAAAAAAAAATATACATATGTATATATATATCATATCTTTTCTGATATCCAAAAAACATGTAATTTGGAGGTCAAAATCAACATTCACCTCAGAAGTTAGGTATGGAATATATGTGTATGTACTCTGTTCCTCTTCTCATTTTGACTTTTTCAGTGTAATCTTATTCACGTAGAATAAGGCTATATAAACCAGTATCTTAAATCATATCCAATCATTTATATTCCACCCAGAATGAGGGTGTGTGTGTTTAGAGCCAATTCGCCCCTCTTCCAGTTGTTTTATAGGTGGTGGCTTACTGAGGATGAATCATGAGAATCTGCACTCAAATTTCAGAGGAAAAGGGAAGAGATCTTATTTTGAACCATTGGGTTTGAAATGATTGTCTCTCTTTTAATTGTCCATTAAGAAAATACAAAGCAATGATAATAATAAAGGCAGTTGTTAACCACAACAACAAACAACCATCACCCTTCAGTTGTGATTCTCATTTTATTGACCAAGACTCCTGCTGCAAATGTGGTTTCCCTGAGTGTCAATTGCTTTATTAACCAGCTGAAACAAATCTGGGGATGAATTAGCAAGAATCTTCTTCTGCAAGCTCAAGTGTGTTTCTGGGTTCAGGTGGCTGTTTCCGTCACCGATGTTCCGGATATTCTTTACTGGCAGAGGCAGCCCGGGAGGCAGCGTTCCTGTGCGGTCTGCTGCTCGGTTACCAGCCGAGATAGAATTCCACGCTCCCGGCGGCGGGGAAGCCACAAACCTCAGATCAGTCTTGAGAATGTGAGGTTCGCTGTTCATTGCAGGGGGGAGTTCGACCAGTGGAAGACAGAAATTTGTACCCTTCATTTAAAATTGTGCTTCTGGAAATACTATGATCGCACAAAAGTGGCTAGTAATGTCAGGTTAAATCTTTTTCTCCCCCCCCCTTTTTTAGGGAGGGGAGAGTGTTTCTTTTTTGTTTTTGGGACTGTTAGTGATTAGGAACAGGTAATTTTTAACTTGCTGGGAGTTCTGTGTGGAGCCCAAGTTGGAACCAGTGAATGCAATGTGCTGACTGGGAGGTTCTGGCCCAAGGACGCTCTGAAACCTACATCTGGCAAAGCTTTCCTTAAATGTATCGGATTCTCATGGGAGTAGTTGGGAATCTGGAGAAGAGA